TCTCTCTGCTGTTACTCTGTTTCTGTCCTTGGCTGCTGCATTTGCTATGGTCTGAGGTGTTTGAGAAATAAATATTCTCTTCAGGTCTGATTTTTTTTCTATGAATGTTTTGAATGCCTCTTTATTTATTGAACTGTTCATCTTTTTTCATTTATGATTAAGCTCAGGTTTGCAGGGTAGATCACTTGGGCTGCATCCTGAGCTCCATTGCTCTCTAGAATACACTATCCCATTCCCTCCAACATTTTCTGGTGAGTACAAAATAGTCTTGTGTTATTCAAATTTCCTTTTCTTTGTATTTGAATGCCTTTCTCCTGGTCACTCACAGAATTCATTGTTTTTGAATTAAATTGTTAAATTTAAACACAATGTATCTTGGAGTTTGCCCTCTTGGATTTTTTTTCCCCTTTCTGGGGGTGATCTATGTACTTTCAATTGGCATTTCCTTTTCTGTGTACAGAAGTTCTGGAAAGTTTTCTTGTATTATGTCTTACATATGGTGTTCATGTTTTTTGACTTGTCATGTTCTTCTGGGAGAGTTATTATCCTTAGCTTGTCTCTATACATCCTGTCTTCAAGATCAATATGTTTTCCTTGAACTGAGAACATTTGCTTTTAATGTTGTTATTGCTTCTTCTAGATTGTCTTTCTCTTTTGCGTATTTGCAGTTCCTACCATTTATCCTTTCTTTTGATTCTTTAGTGAGACTTGCCATTACAGATTCACATTTATCTATTTTATCAATTATATTTTCTGTGCAGGTCATAATTTCTGTTCTCATAATTCTAATTCTCTTTTAATTCACTTAGGAACAAAGTGTCATGATTCCATGTTTTCCTCACATTCCACAGAGTCCTCTGTCTCATTAAGTGTTAAGTCATTTTCCTTTGTTCTGTGGTATTAATTCATAGAGGTCTCAACTTATTTTCTAGATCTGAGGCCATATTTCCTTCTGCTGTTAATATTTTCCCCATTAATTTATCTGCTTACGCTAAAAGTCTTTGAGTTTTCTTCTTCCCTAGATCTTTAGTAATTTCAGTCTTTTTTTTTCCTCTTATTTTCCCCAATTGTTCATTTTCTGACTCGCTCCCCTGTGACAGTGGCTTCCCTGGAGGCTAGATCTGAAAGCATCTCAACCTCCCTCCTAGGGGCAGCTAGGTGGTGCAGTGTGTAGAGCACCGGCCCTGAACTCAGGAGGACCTGAGTTCAAATCTGGCCTCAGACCAAACACTTGACACTTACTAGCTGTGTGACCCTGGGCAAGTCACTTAACCCTAATTGCCTAAAAATAGAAAAAATAAAAAAATAAAAATAAAAAAATAAAAATAAAAACAACCTCCATCCTGTACAATTCGTAGTTCACCAGTGTAGATCTCTGCCCAAAATTACTTTTTGGGAAACAGAACTAGCCCAGTTGGATCCTGGACTCTTTCACTCAGGCTTAGTAGAGTGTCAAATAGCCCTGCACAATGCCACCTTGCCCCAGTGGTGTCTTGCCCTATTTCCTCTGTTCCTCGGTTTTCTGGCCCAGTGATTCAGAGCACTGTCAAGTTGGTGCTACTACCAGCAGCATTAATTTCTGCAGTTTGCAGTTTGTAATTCCGAGGCTCTGGAAGGTGGGGAAGTGGGGATTATTGAAATGTAAAGTTGAGTTCTATTTTAAGCCAAGACACATATCCTTCCCCATCCTATTTCTCCATTCACCTGAAAAGATCTTTTTGCTACATAAAATGCTGCTGTGGTACTGGCCACCAAGGCTTCAGGAAATTTCCACAGCTGGAGTTAACTTAATCTCCAAAGCCCTGGAAAGATGGAGGAGGTGCAGTTGGTTGGGTTTTGTTACAAGCTGGTGAGTAGAGTTGATTATTGTAACATTACTATAGGTAGTGTAGTGGATCTTATGTGAGGGGGGGCTGAGTAAACATGAGTTAGGTTAGTTCATAGTTAGTTCATAGGTTAGTTCATAGTTCACAGTTCGTTGGGTTGTTTTTTAAACCTTCTTTTGGGTTACTGATGTTTTAGACCATCAAAACAACTAAAGTTGCTTTATCAGTGTATAATTTCTGTTTTGGAAAGGTTTGAGACACTATGAGAATCAGAATAAGTAATCCTCATTCTTGTTGGTCTTTTGATCTGAAACCTAATTAATTAATTCTTAAAAATGAAAAAGATAATGATCTGGGAGAACTGTATTGGGTACTGTACTGACAGAGATCATTTGATGTCTGGATGAAATATAGATGTATAAGCATTAGTTAAAAATGGAACCCTTTTAGGGGCAGATGGGTGGTGCAATGGATAGAGCTCCAGCCTTGGAGTCAGGAGGACCTGAGTTCAAATCCGGCCTCAGACACTTGACACTTAACACTTAACTAGCTGTGTGACCTTGGGCAAGTCACTTAATCCCTATTGTCTAGCAAAAACAAACAAACAAAAAATTAGAACCCTTTTCAGAATATGGATAATGGCAAGTTTCACAGACTCAAGTGTGTTGAGAAAAAAGAATTTTTAAAGCTATTACTAGAATAATCAATTTATTTTTAAAAAAAGTTCATTAAAAAGAAGGCTTTTGGCAACACTGTGTGATGACATAAGTATAGGACACTTTTATATTATTGCAAAACACAGTGACTTTATCAGACCTAAGAATTTCGAAGGATATTTGAGCTAAAAGAGAATGCCATTTTTCTTAGTCATAATAATAAAGATGAAGAACATTTATTTTATAAGAAAAATTTCATCCTGAAACTTGTATGTTTGGTCAACATGTGTGTAAACATGTATGTATATATATATGTATATATATGCATGCACATACATACATTTACATACAAACACACATAAGCACACAGTGGTTGGCATTCTTTTCTTTCTCACTTTTTATTATTGGTTTTCCTGAGTTTCTTCAAGACTCAGATGAAATTCTGTCCTGTGCTGAAAGGTTTTCTTGGTCCCTTTCATGGCCAGTGTATTGCCTTCGAGATTATCTTCTGTCTATTCTAAATGTATTTTTAGGTATATAGTTTACATGTTGTTTCTCCCATTAGAATATATGTTTCTTGAGGACAATGACTGTGTTTTTGCCTTTCTTTGCATCTATGTTGCTAAGCACAGTGCCTGGCACAAAGTTGACTGACCAGCTGATAACATGCCTCATATAGTACATATCTGTATATTTTTAGCTGCTTTAAGTGCAATTAATGCAAGGTCCTCAAATCTATATTCTGATCTAAAAAGATCAAAAAAGTGATTGCATTTATGAAAAAAATTGCAATGAGAAATAAACTCACTCATACATTAATAGTATTGTTTTCATTATTTTTATAAGTTTAAGTATGAGAATTTTAAGTTATTGTTCAGTCATTTTTCAGTCATGTCCAACTTTTCGTGACATCTTTTATGATTTTCTTGGCAAAGATACTGGACTGGTTTGTCATTTCCTTCTCCAGCTCATTTATAGATAAGGAAACTGAGGTAAACAGAGGTAAGTGACTTGCCCAGGTTCACACAGCTAGTAAGTCTCTGAAGCTGGATTTGATCTCAGGAAGATGAGTCTTCCTGACTTCAGACCTGATATTCTATCCATTGTGTCACTTAGCTACCCTCCGTTTTTAGAATTGTAAAGGACACCAATTTTAAATTTCACTCTATTTTATTGCATTTAAGATTAGTTGCAAAATTTTAATAAATCCTCATTTTATTTTAAATAAAATATATGCCAAGAAAAAATTGTGGATTTTCTTTTGAAAGGTGAGGGAACATGGTGATTTTTGTATGTATGTAAAGAAGAAGGTAGAAATAGCAAAATTTAGTAACTGATTGGATATGTAGAGTGAGGAAGATTGATGATTTCACTCATGTGGAATGAGTAAAATTCCATTTGGGAGACTGGAAAGATGGTACTGCCTTTGATGGAAATAGGGAAAAATTTGGAAGAGAAGAGGGTTTAAAGGAAAGATTCTGATTTCAGCTTTAGCCAGGTTGAGCTTAAAATGTCTATGAGAAATTCGGTTTGAAATGTCCAATAGGTAGTTGGTGATGTGGGGCTAGTTCTCAGTGGAAACAATGAGGCTGAATGTAGAAACTTGGAGTCACCTACATAAAGATGATAGTTAAACCCATGAATGTGGGTGAGGTTACCAAAAGAAATAGTTTGAAAAATAAGAGAAGTTTAGGACAGAACCTTGGAGAACACCAACAATTTAGGTTAGGTGATGTGGACAATGACCTAACAAAAAGGAGTCTAACGAACTTCTTTGGTGGGAGGCAAATGAGGAGAGAAAACTGTCATGAATACTCAGAGAAGACAGAGATCTCAGAGGAAGGTGTAGTCAACTGTACCAAAGGCAAGAGATAGGAGAACAAAGGTGAAAGAATATGGATGAAATGAGATGTGGAAAGACTGAGAGTCATACCATTGGAAGGCGTATAGACATTTATGACATAACTGATCCATTAAAGTATACAGATATCTGATACTATTATTTTAGGTGTTACTGGTATTATTGGCATGCTTTATCCAGTCCAAGAGTACCTACCCTTTCTGGTTATTGTTAATGAGACCTCCAGGATCCTAGCATCATCTTTGACATTTTATGAATTATAGATATGTTGCCAGGAGGAAAGAATGGATTTCATTAATTTTAGTAGAGTAAGAAGTATATTGGGTGTATAGTTTATGAAATTCTGTTGGACAAAGAAAATGGGAATTTCTTCTGGTCACAACTGAAGCACTCAAATTGAATGAGTCCACATTAAGTGAGTGCCCTTATGGTTTTTTTTAAAGTACATTATTTAAAGTACATTTTTAAAAGTACATTAAATAAATGCCCTGTTATGAGTACAAAGCAAAATCTGACAAACACAAAGTTGTCCCTATGTAAATCAAATATTAAAGCGAGTCTGCTTATTATGAATATGTGGACTCCTAACCAGGACATGAAACTTTGGTGGACTACTTCAACTAATGACATATCCTTAGGCTGAAGATCAATGGATACCGGACCTGAGATAAACTCAGAGACACAACGTTGGCCAAGCAGATGCAAACTCTGAAGGCTGCTGGCAGATCAGGAAACAATACAGCTTCCTGCTCCACAAGAAAAGGCTCAAACAACCTCTTGATTCCATTAATTCCTGAGGGTAGCATAAACCTGATGGTAATTTCCTGAAAGGAAAAGATAGAGTCCAATATGGAAAGGTCACAAGAGTAGTCTGGAGGGCCAGGGTGTGAGTCTATTTATGAACTGCAGAATGACTGAAATCTTTCATTTTCTGCCAACAAACAAACTTAACTGGAATAAACCTATTGTGTCACCAATTAATGACAAATGTCATGACTTCTTGGATATTGCTCCAAGAGGGAAAAAAAAATTCTATGGCTTCGTTGGGACTTCAGGAGATGTTGTTCTAATTAGAGCAAGAAAGCAGTTAAATTTTATGTTATAGCTTGAGCAGGAAAGATATAATGAATTTCACTTGATTCTGAAAATGTCCCGTTGAATTGCACATCAAGGCCTATGTCTGTCTCAAAACCATGGCCTTCCTTCATTATTAGCATATGCATCTCTTTATCTTTTTCCACCTACTATTCTGGTTCTGTTTTCTTTCTCCCTGCTGATTTCTTGTATTGCGTTATCCTTTCTTCTTTATTTTTTTGTTACCATCACGTATCAATGTCCTGCTGTTTCTCCAAAGCCCTCCCATAGCATTTATTGTCTAGCACTCTTCACCAATCAGTGTATCATCAGAGGCAGACACAGCTCTCCGGGGTTCTAGGACAACAGGCTCCAATCAAAGACATTAGGAGAAATGTGCTCTGCAATTTTTCCATTTATTCCTGGTGGTGCCATTCTTAAAGGGAAAACATCTTTGAAAGGAAATGGATGGCTTCATCTTGAACTGGCTTCCTGCTTGGAAATCTAAAGGAGGAGAAAAGCAACAGGCTAGGACCATGGTGGCAAAAGTGTATTGAAGAGGTACTTAAATCAACCTTCACACCAGTTTCATTTTTATTTTACTTCATAGTAGGAAGGGATCTCAGAGGGCATTTAGTCCAATCCCCTTATTTTACTGATGAAGGAAGCTGAGGCTCAGGTTAGTTAATTGACTGCAATGTTTCTTATGGGGGTGCAATAAATGGGAAATGCTTCTTAGCTAATACAGGTGAAATGGTGTAGAGCCAGCAGTTGTATTGTGGAAAGAGGCTTGGATTGGGGGAAGGGGGTCAGGGGATCTGAGTTTAAAACCTGATTTCTACTGGATATCTCTGTAGTAGTCACTTGACTTTTAGAGTTTCGATTTCTTTGTAAAATGGGAATGTTGGACTAGAAATAGGGGTTCTTAGTCTTGGGTCCATGAGCTTGTTCTTTAAAAAAATATTTTGAAAGCTATATTTCTGTACAATTGGTTTCTTTCACAATCCTATGTATTTTATTTTATGCATTTAAAAGTATAATCATGAGAAGGGGTCCATAGGCTTCACCAGACTGCCAAAGGGATCCACAACCCCAAAATAGGTCAAGAACCCATGGAGTAGAGGATCTTTTAGTACTCTTCCAGTTTTTAATCCTTTTAGCTTCTATAAGCTTCTCTTTGGGAACCTACATTTAATGGAATACCTAATTATGAAGGGCCTATTGCAAGATATGATGGAAAGACAATGATAAAAATATTGTTTCTGACTTGAGACTCTTACTGGGAAGATCCTATGCATAAATACTACTCAACAGTTAATTTCATTTAAAAATATTTTGGAATTGAAAATACCACGTAGACCATCACTTAAAGTTATCTGAAGGAAGCAATTTCCACCTTTTTTCTTTCTCATTTACCTTATTTCCTTAATTATAATTAGAGGAAATGTGGTCAAGTCAAAGTAGAGTTCAGACAATCCATCAGGTGGAGCACCTGGAATATAATTGAAGGCTGCTTGAACTCTGGATCTGTCTTATACCAGATTTGTCCTATTCCAGGCTTTGAAGAACATAACATACTACAAGGTAGAAGCAGCAAAATTAATACTTTCAAATACTTTAAAAAGTAATTTTGAAAAGTAATCACACTTTATTTGTGATCTTCCCAATTTTTTTTTATTTTTTGTCTTCAACATTTACTTTCATAAGATTTTGAGTTCTAAATTTTTCCCTCTCCCTCTCCACTCCCTCCCCTCCCTAAGATGGCATGTAATCTGATATAGGCTATACATGTACAATCACATTAAGCATATTTCCACCTTAGTCATGTTGTGAAAGAAGAATCAGAACAAAAGGGAAAAACCGTGAGAAAGAAAAAAAAAACAACAAAAAAAGAGAAATAGTATGCTTTGACCTGCATTCAGACTTCCTGGTTCTTTCTCTGGATGTGGATAGCATTTTCCATCATGAATCTTTTGGAATTGTCTTAAATCATTGCATTGCTGAGAAGAGCTGGGTCTATCAAAGTCGGTCATCGCACAAGGTGGCTGTTTCTGTGTACGATGTTCTCCTGGTTCTGCTCATTTCACTCAGCATCAATTCATGTAAGTCTTTCCAGGTTTTTCTGAAATCCACCTGCTCATCATTTCTTATGTATTCCATTACATTCATATGCTACAACTTGTTCAACCATCCCCCAATTGCCTAATTTTATTTTACCAGACCTATAACTAGGAGAGGTTGACCAGGCCTATTTCCCAGAGTACTGAAATTTAGAGTGTGTAGTTATCCCTTCCTAGGGGTTAGGGGCATGGCACCCTCATAATCTGGAATATCTGCATGAAATTTAAAGGTCTTCCATACCAGAGAAGAAGTCTGAATTAATATGACATCAAAAGATAAAATATGTTGATATTATATAATAATATACATATATTTTATGCATTCCTGAATTTCTAAACTATTTTCTGTGTTGTCTGCTGTCCTTCATGGGTGTGCAGCTTTTGCAGACTCCCCTCAAATTCCCATTTAATTTTATTTTTGCCCATTTAATTTCTTATGCTTATCTGTGATATATTGAAACCAGAATGGAGAAAGTCACGATGTGGAAGGTATAACTGTACAGGCAGCAGTCTTTTCAACAGCACAGAAACAACTGAGCTGAACACCTAGTTAATAAGAATAATTAGTTAAAATTTGAAAGATCCACATTCAAAGTGAGTGCCTGCTTAACCTAATCATACTTCTTTCCCATCCCTTCAGACCCTACCCCAAGCAGTGGACTCCCTAGGAGCAGCATTGATGTATATTCTGTATCACCCCTCTGAACTCACTCTTCAGCTCCCATTTGTGGCTGGGTCCCAGAAGTCAGTTAACTATATGTCTCCCCTCAAGGTTTTATCATTAGGTAAGCCTGAAGGGCTGGGATTTCTGATATTGTTTCTCATAAGCCCCCATCTGTTGTGTCCCCATTTCCCAATATCAATCAGTTGACATTAAGTAGTGTTTATAAGAGGATATTTACTGAAAAGATAGAGTAAGAAAAGTAGTTACCAAAAAAGCCTCCAAGCCAATGAAGCCCAACCCAAACCAAGGGGTGTACTTTCCTTTCTCAAAATACATATGATGGGGAGAGTGGTTCCAAACTTAGAGAACAAAGGGATATCTCACAACTCCTGGTTTAGGGACCTTTTTCCCTTCCTGGAGGCCCCATTTGCCTCAGAATGAAGTGTTCCCTTGCCCTGGGATGGCTCTGAGGAAGATGTGGTGCATCACTCAGTTCATAGGCCAATCTGGGTCAAGCAAGGCACTCATCTGCTGTGTTGGCTTCTTACCAAATTTGGATGCTGCTATAGCTATAAGCTCTCCTAGTCTCTGCTACCTTCTGATTCTGATTGCAGAGGTGACCTCTGATGGCTCTTTTGATCTTTTAACTACAAAAGGAGTTGCTGGGTGGCAAATAAAGTTTAACACTGTCCCTCCCAAACCCAGCAGATCACAGCAGTTTCTAGGGAAGAGAAGGCAAGATTGTCTGTTCAAAACTTTTATATGCGCAATTAATTCTGGCTCAGACTCTCTTGTGCCATCAGTCCTATTAGCTCCTTAGACAACCAGAAGACAATCCATACTACCAGCCACTCAGGGCCAGAAGAAGTAAGTGTTCCATTAAAACCAGACAGAGAGTATTGAACCTTCTCTGAAGTGCCTTTCATATGAAAGGGCCCTTCTATCTTGCATTCCTGAAATGGCAGCTGAGTGTACTGGGGGGAGGAGGTACCCAAGAGGTTTTACATTAAGATAGCTTTCCTCTTCCAAGTAACTACAACCAATGTAACATCCTTTGAAGCCCCATCTGCCCACATACCCTCTTACCTCCTCAGTGACCTTGAGATATCGAGAGTTTCCCTACCCCATGAGCATTTCTGGCTACTTATTTTAGTTATTCCTCTCCTTTTGGCCTGTATCCAGGTTCATTTAGAGAATTCATGATTATTACCTAAGCAAGTAAAATGCATCAACAGTAGTCAAATATTAAATAGAAAAATAGGAAAAAAATGAACTTGAAAATCTTTGGTTTTTATTTTCTGATTATAAGATTGTCGTCTCTTTTCATCTTGGTTCTCTGTTGGGCAATAATGTTTGTTCCTTGTCTCTTTATGTTCTTATTGGAAGGTGTTAACTCTCATGTGCCTTTGCTTAAGAAGGAGTTTTCCTTTATGGTAAACTTCTGTCACTTGGATGTTAAATAATTTCAAGTTTTGCCATCTTCAAAGTCACTAATCGTCCCCAGCTGATGAAGAAGACTGTTTTGGATACTTTGAAGCCTCTAATACCATGAAGTTAAGTGTAGTGAGCAACTAGAAATCAAAAGATCTGTGAGTCTTTGGCAATAGGAAGAAAAGAAAATAAACAAAGTAACCATATAATAATAACAATAAATAAATAAACAATAAATAAATAAATAACATTAACTTGTGTGCCAGGCATGGTGTTAAGCACTTTACATTTATTATCTCATTTTATCTTCACAACAAGGTGCTGTTATTATCCCCATTTTATAGATGAAGAAACTCAGACAGACAGAAGTTAAGGGACTTGCCCAGCTGAATTTGAATTCAGGTCTTCTTGACTCTAGGCCTTGTACTCTTTCCATTGCTTACTATTGTTTTTAGTCTTCACAAATAATCACTGTCATTCATTGAATCAGTTGGCTTAAAAAAGTTTATTTGAGGCATGTTGTTATTGCCCAATT